CTCCTTTCCCTCCCCTCCAATCCCCTCCCTCTTTATCTTCCCTCTCCTCCTTTGCTTCTTCTCTTCCCTCTCCCCTCCCCCTCCTTTCTCTCCTCTCGTTTACCGCCGTAAATGTATAAAAAGCGTTTAGGGGCAAGTGATTTAAAAAATAAGCAAGCAACAAAATATATATACACGTATCTCAAAACCTTATCTTTGAGAACACACAAGTATTCGCACGAAAATCGAGTTATCGGTTCACATATTTATCCACACATCATAGCACTTTTTTCTCAAAGATCTTTCGTTCATTCTTTTCTTTAAAATACGCGACAATCGTTTTCTCGTGATAGTGGCATCGAGATCTGACCTCATCGATATTATGTCGGTTTCGATCGCTTTCTCGAACGGTGAGCAGTTTACCACGACCACCTCGCCACCGATAACAGCCGACTTCTCGATCAAGCCTCGCGAACGATCAATCTTGGACAAAAGAATTATTTATGCGGGAGAAAAATTGCGGGAAAAGAATGATCTGCATGATTAGCGGGTGTAATTTTGTCTTGCCGTAAAAGATTCTACCTCTTTACAGCACTAATCTCTGTACAGAAGAAAATAATTACAATTCAATACTGTGCGATATACGCGAAGCAGTGTAGATACAAAAAATATTTTTCTCAGCAAATACGCGTGTGCCATATACTATGCATGGTTAGTGAAACAAAAACTGATCATTGAGACAGAAAGAATCCTATTGACAAAAAAGAAGAAGCGACAGGATCGCACGACTCATCGTCATCGTCGTCGTCGTCGTAATATTCCGTATTTCTCTTCACCTACTTGCGAGATATCGATGAGCCCTCCGATATCCTATTACCTCGTCTCCTCGTAATCAATCATCGTTGTGATAGAGATGATCGCGTATAATGCGAAGTGCGCGGATACATTTACTTAGGAATTGAAACCGGAATAATAACGTTTGCTGCGATACTTATGTGCGGAAAATGAAGAAAAAACTCTACGGCTCCACAAACACGAATATATCTTTTTTCTTTGATTCTCCAGAACAATATTCAATCATATGTCTTTCTCCCTCTCTCTCTCTCTCTCTCTCTCTCTCTCTCTCTCTCTCTCTCTCTCTCTCTCTC